GATTTCGGGGCTTTAGTGTCCCCGCGGCCCGGTCCTCGACCAGGCCTAATCCAACTCTAGATCCCTAATCCAACTCTAGATCCCTAATCCAACTTTAGATCCCTAATCCAACTTTAGATCCAATCCCGTGAGCCTCTTGTCTTTTTAATCAATCTATATTGTGGCACTTCTTAATCTATATTTTTGCTATGTGGCACTGTAGCAAAAGCTTTGCTACAGTTCCGGAGCCGGTCGGCCGAGCAGACAGCACACTGGACTTGTGATCCTGGGTTCGATCCCAGGCTCCGGCGAGAAACAATGGGCAGAGTTTCTTTCACCCTACGCCCCTGTTACCTAGCAGTAAAATAGGTACCTGGGTGTTAGTCAGCTGTCATGGGCTGCTTCCTGGGGGTGGAGGCCTGGTCGAGGACCGGGCCGCGGGGACACTAAAGCCCCGAAATCATCTCAAGATAACCGTAATATTGACGTGTTCCTGTACATCGGTATTGATGGGTTAGGTGGGTTGGTTAAGTTCGTACGTTTCTCCAGAGGCAAAACAGTTGTATTTTTTACGAAGTGGCGAATTGAGGAGTAGAACTAACTCCCAGAACACCTTGTAGGTATACTCCGGGTATACTTTAGGTATACTTTAGGTATACTCCGGGTATACTTTAGGTATACTCCGGGTATACTTTAGGTATACTCCGGGTATACTTTAGGTATACTCCGGGTATACTTTAGGTATACTCCGGGTATACTTTAGGTATACTCCGGGTATACCCCACGTATACTACAGGTACACTCAGGATATACTGCAGGTATATCCTTATACTTCGCGTATACTCCGGGTATAATTCACATATACTCCGGGTATACTTCAGGTATACCCCGAGTATACTCCGGATATACTCCGGATATACTCGAGGTATAGGTGACTTTCAGAAATGAAAAAAGCCTTTGTGAAGCGCATACACAAGGACATGCAGAGTGCAGTAATCCCTCACTGGACACACATAAGGCCAGGGGCCAGATTCACGAAAGCACTTACGCAAATACTTATGAACGTGTACATCTTTCCTCAATCTTTGACGGCTTTGGTTACATTTATTAAACAGTTTACAAGCATGAAAACTTCCCAATCAGCTGTTGTTATTGTTATAAACAGCCTCCTGGTGCTTCGGAGCTCATTAACTGTTTAATAATTGTAAACAAAGCCGCCAAAGATTGAGAAAAGATGTACAGGTTCGTAAGTGTTTGCTTAAGTACTTTCGTGAATCTGGCCCCAGGTGTGTCGGAGTACCTCACCGCCTGCCTGCATGGCCGACCTGGATGGCAGTGACACTCAACCAAGTTTATTGAGGTATAAATACACACAAAGGGATAGAGGGTTGATGGGGTTCTGGGAGTTCTTCTACTCCCCATGCCCGGCCCGAGGCCAGGCTCGACTTGTGAGAGTTTGGTCCACCAGGCTGTTGCTTGGAGCAGCCCACATACCCACCACAGCCTGGTTGGTCCGGCACTCCTTGGAGGAAACAATCTAGTTTCGTCTTGAAGATGTCCATGGTTGTCTGATTAGCGTCTTTGACAATTTGAGAAATAAATAGCATGCAATGTTGTTAAACTGTTTAATAAATGTCAACAAAACCGCCGTGATTTGTTTAAAAATGAAGTACAGGTTTCGTAAGGGGGTCTGTAAATGGTTTGTGAAGCGTGGTGGGCCTAGGGCATAGCGTGTATTACACGCGGGTAATTGTTGTGTGCGGCCCAACCGTCGGGGCGGGTGTGGGGTTACAAGGCCTTAAACAACAGCCGTGGAGCCGCAGGAGCGTCTTAACAAGTGCGGGGCGAGATGTAAGAGTCGTGTTGGTAATTGTCGTGACCACACAAGACACGCCAAGAAGCACTCAGCCCCCGTCAAGCCCCGCTGGTTCGATCCCACAATCCTGCTCCAACCTAGATGCTGGCTCCGAAGATTTTTCTTACGTGGCGTTATCGTGATTTCATTGAAGAACTGAAGCTTCCAACCATACTAGAGAGAATCATGCAAGTCAACACCACCTTTTGCCTTAGTCATGACAGACCCTACATCTCCTGCATTGCTCAGAGACAAATTATTTAGTGCTGTTAACACCCTACTGACTGGTGCCGACATACCAACTCACTCCGTTAATGATAAATGGCTAATCAAAAATGCCTACACTCTCATCAAACTCAACATTCATTTTAAGTGCACTCTACCTGTCTCTGATATTCCTCTTTATCTGTACCCCACCATTCAAGTTATCATACACACCTGTCACCAAGAAAGATAATGAGAATCTTGCTCTTCTGAAAGCTGTCACACTCGAAACAATTGCCTCCTCCATCGAGAATTTAAGATCTCACGAGCACTGTGTCTACACCGACGGCTCAGTCCAATCCTCTACTGGACGGACTGCAGCAGCATGTAGGTTTTATAGAAATAATATTTGCACTAAGACTATCAGTGTCAGGTTAAACAACTGGCTGACCTCCACACAAGCAGAACTAGCGGCATTACAACTAGCTACCTGTACAGTAAAAAACATTGGAGGAGGAATAATATTTTGTGAATCAAAGTCTGCTCTTCAAGCAATCGAAAACTACTTCTGGAAGATCGACAACAAGAACCTCATACTACCAATTATAAATGACCTAATCGCTGCACAGAGTAAAGGGTTTCGAATCTCCTTTGTATGGAGACCATCATTCAAGCAGGTATCACACACAAATATAACACACACATCATAATGAGATAGACATTGCAGCCAGATTAGCGTGTAACAAAGATGAAGTTGAATTAGATCTAGGTATTTCCATCTGTATCTTCAGAAACTGAATGTGTCTCTTAACCCTGATAAAACTGTTCACTATATTCCCCCTTGGAAAGATGTGGAGGTCTCTCTGCATTATACTCCCATCAGTGTAAAACAAATGTATAACACTGACATTTTGAGATGTATAACATTAGAAGCTATTGACAGTCATCTTCAAATTCTCAAACCGACTGAATCCTATGCCTTTACTGATGGCTCTGTGCAGTTAGGCACTGGTAGAACAGGTTGTGCATGTGCAGTGTATAAAGGAAATGAAATGATCATGACTAGTACACAGAGATTGAACAACTGGGCAAGCACGACACAGACCGAGCTATTGGGTATTTATCTAGCCACTGAATACCTTAAGCTCAATGGTGGTGGAGTTATTTTCTGTGACTCTAAAAGTGCTCTGCAGTCCTTAAATAACCCATCACAATGTATGTCGGAAGTAGCTTGTAATATTAAATGGAATGTAATTTTTGCCAATGATAATAACTCTTGTATAAAATTTGTGTGGATTCCATCCCATGTTGGAGTTGGAAAACATGACTTTGTAGATCAATTGGCCAATGAGGCTTGCAGGAAAGAAAACACTGATTATGACTTTGGACTATCTAATGCAGTTATTAGAAACATACAAATTAAAGAAATTAATTCAGATTTAGAAGAACTAAGAAATGCCCAGAGACCTGAAAGCTGCAGTATTAAAAGTTATGACAAGTTTTGTAATAATAGGTATTTGTATGGTCAGCATAGTAACCGGACCAGGCAATGTGATGTAGTCATTGCGCGAATTCGCCTTGGCTATAGACACATCTGGCAGGTTAGTGAGGCTGAGCCACTACCAGAATACTCAGATTGTAAACTCTGTGATAAACCTTTAATGCATTCACTAGAACACTATATTGATGAATGTGAAACCGTAAAGGACTTTAGACCTCCTGGCCTCTTGTACCACCAACTGTGTAACTATTTTATTGACTCAGGTGTTCTGGACGACATCCTAACAATTTACCCAAAATTTGCTTGTCCATTTTAAAGAATGAAGAACAATTTTTATTTATATTACTTCTAAGCTGTATCACTTATGAACCCATCCCTGCCCTTGTGTGGCAGTGCACAATAGAAAGTTGTTTTCACATATCCATACATTAAAACATTGATTGTAACCATGATATATATGTGCTTCAGCCTACAGTTTAGACCTATTGTCTTATGTATGACCCTCTGTCCTGCGTGACAGTGAATACTAGCATTATCCTCACTTTAATAAGACTATCAAAATCCTCAGATTAGGCAAAATTGTAATTAATTTTGTCAATAAAGATGTTAATAATAATAAATTTTTAGCATTACGTAGCTAGTTCTTGACACACCCTGTACTCCCCTTCATATAGTCTAGGGCAGGTAGTTCTTGACACACCCTGTACTCCCCTTCATATAATCTAGGGCAGGTAGTTCTTGACACACCCTGTACTCCCCTTCATATAATCTAGGGCAGGTAGTTCTTGACACACCCTGTACTCCCCTTCATATAATCTAGGGCAGGTAGTTCTTGACACACTCTGTACCCCCCCTTCATATAATCTAGGGCAGGTAGTTCTTGACACACCCTGTACTCCCCTTCATATAATCTAGGGCAGGTAGTTCTTGACACACTCTGTACTCCCCCCCTTCATATAGTCTAGGGCAGCTGCACAAATGCAGATGTACCTGATGTATTAATAAAAAAGTTCTTTCATTGTGTATTAACGAGGGTATATTATTCTGTAGTGTGATTTCATTTAATATATAATAGGTCGTATGTTGTTGGTTTGGTTGGTGTGATGAGTTACAAGTCTTTTTACTAACTCTTGTATATTACATCCCTTGATTCTCCATGTTACTTGATTCCCTTAAATATATTATAGCTTTGGTAATATAAGATTATGAAAGCTGATTATTTTGAACTTAATTTAAAAGTAGGATTTATTAGTTAGCTTGATGTAGGATTTATTTGTTATGATTGACATGCACGTGAGACACAGCATGCATGGTTGTGTGTGTGTGTGTGTGTGTGTGTGTGTGTGTGTGTGTGTGTGTGTGTGTGTGTGTGTGTGTGTGTGTGTGTTTGTTGGTGTGTGTATGAGCGCACTGAAACCTAAATTAGGATCGTTAATAGAGCTTCATTTGTTTTATTTGCAGCCAACGGGAGTCCGGAGGAGCTAAACGTGGTCCCAAGCCCAAGACCAAGACCAGAGAATCACACCACCAGAGTAGGGTAAGTGTGTGTGTTTACTAGTTGTGTTTTTACGGGGGTTGAGCTTTGCTCTTTCGGCCCGCCTCTCAACTGTCAATCAACTGTTTACTAACTACTTTTTTTTTTCCCACACCACACACACACACACACACACACACCCCAGGAAGCAGCCCGTGACAGCTGACTAACTCCCAGGTACCTATTTACTGCTAGGTAACAGGGGCATTCAGGGTGAAAGAAACTTTGCCCATTTGTTTCTGCCTCGTGCGGGAATCGAACCCGCGCCACAGAATTACGAATCCTGCGCGCTATCCACCAGGCTACGAGGCCCCTAGTAGTGTGTGTGTGTGTGAATGTAAACCTGGAACGTGTTGCGGGAGCCCAACATTACAATATAAACATGAGGTTAGCTGAGCGGAGCAAACTGCTAGCTTCCATGTGATTGACCTGCATTAAAGAGTTGTGGTAGAGCAAGGGCGGGCCTGGATGTTTAGCCGCCCTGTATTTTACTGACACTGAATGTTGGCGGCCTTGAATTTACTCGCCTGGTTGTGTGCTTGCTGGGGATGAGCTCTGGCTCCTTGGTCCCGCCTCTCAACTATCAGTCAACCGGTGTACAGCTTCCTTAGCCTATTAGGCTCTAGCATAATCTACATTTGAAACTGTGTATGGTGACCTCGCCGCGTAACTGCACAGTGCAGTCCATTTATTAACTACCATGTAAAAAAAACTAATGTGTCTGTGGCTCATTTGAGTACTAAGTTTACACCTGTGTCCCCCTTGTGAGTGTTCTGCCCAGGCTTAATAATTTGTCTTTGTCCACTCTTGTCAATTTCTGAGCATTTTGTAGGTGGTGATCATGTCTTGCATGGACGTGAGGTTTAATTCCTGTAGCCTTTTCTTGTAACTCATACCTCTCAGCTCTGGGACTAGTCTGGTGGCTTACATCTTAATCTTCTATAACTTTGTCTCGTGTTTAACTAAGTAGGGACTCCAGCGTGGAACTGCAAACTTCAGAATTGGTCTGACACATGTAGTATACAAAGTTCTGAATAATTCCTTACACAAGTTTCTAAATGCAGATTTTATGTTGGCCAATCTAGCATACACCGCTGATGATACCCTTCTGATATGGGCCTCCGAGGATAGGTTCGGTGTGATACCAACCCCCAGATCTTTCTCTCTATTTGACTATTGAAGGGTTTCACCTCCCAGATGGTACCTTGTGTTCGGCTTCCTGTTTATGCATGTTAAATATGTGCTCTGTATTTCCGCTATTTCAGCCATCTCTATTGCTTTGATCGAGAAGCGAGTATCGTGCTTTCTCGCCTTGATTCAAGTGATTTAGATAGTAGATTTAGATAGTAAGGGCATTTGTGATGGAATCCCTGGATTTTGAAGGTTCTCGTAATCCATCCTATCATTTTCCTGGCTGGTGCTATATTTGCTCAGTTATGCTCACTAAACGTTAGTCATTTTCATGCTGATTATTTTATCGTCTGCCTAGGAGGACACGACTTGTATTTTCATGTATATATGGTATGAGAGTGACGTACAGCAGTGGTACAAGAACTGTACCCTGGGGGGACACGGCGTATATATGGTATGAGAGTGACGTACAGCAGTGGTACAAGAACTGTACCCTGGGGGGACACGGCGTATATATGGTATGAGAGTGACGTACAGCAGTGGTACAAGAACTGTACCCTGGGGGGACACGCGTATATATGGTATGAGAGTGACGTACAGCAGTGGTACAAGAACTGTACCCTGGGGGGACACGGCGTATATATGGTATGAGAGTGACGTACAGCAGTGGTACAAGAACTGTACCCTGGGGGGACACGGCGTATATATGGTATGAGAGTGACGTACAGCAGTGGTACAAGAACTGTACCCTGGGGGGACACGGCGTATATATGGTATGAGAGTGCGAATCCTGCGCGCTATCCACCAGGCTACGAGGCCCCTAGTAGTGTGTGTGTGTGTGAATGTAAACCTGGAACGTGTTGCGGGAGCCCAACATTACAATATAAACATGAGGTTAGCTGAGCGGAGCAAACTGCTAGCTTCCATGTGATTGACCTGCATTAAAGAGTTGTGGTAGAGCAAGGGCGGGCCTGGATGTTTAGCCGCCCTGTATTTTACTGACACTGAATGTTGGCGGCCTTGAATTTACTCGCCTGGTTGTGTGCTTGCTGGGGATGAGCTCTGGCTCCTTGGTCCCGCCTCTCAACTATCAGTCAACCGGTGTACAGCTTCCTTAGCCTATTAGGCTCTAGCATAATCTACATTTGAAACTGTGTATGGTGACCTCGCCGCGTAACTGCACAGTGCAGTCCATTTATTAACTACCATGTAAAAAAAACTAATGTGTCTGTGGCTCATTTGAGTACTAAGTTTACACCTGTGTCCCCCTTGTGAGTGTTCTGCCCAGGCTTAATAATTTGTCTTTGTCCACTCTTGTCAATTTCTGAGCATTTTGTAGGTGGTGATCATGTCTTGCATGGACGTGAGGTTTAATTCCTGTAGCCTTTTCTTGTAACTCATACCTCTCAGCTCTGGGACTAGTCTGGTGGCTTACATCTTAATCTTCTATAACTTTGTCTCGTGTTTAACTAAGTAGGGACTCCAGCGTGGAACTGCAAACTTCAGAATTGGTCTGACACATGTAGTATACAAAGTTCTGAATAATTCCTTACACAAGTTTCTAAATGCAGATTTTATGTTGGCCAATCTAGCATACACCGCTGATGATACCCTTCTGATATGGGCCTCCGAGGATAGGTTCGGTGTGATACCAACCCCCAGATCTTTCTCTCTATTTGACTATTGAAGGGTTTCACCTCCCAGATGGTACCTTGTGTTCGGCTTCCTGTTTATGCATGTTAAATATGTGCTCTGTATTTCCGCTATTTCAGCCATCTCTATTGCTTTGATCGAGAAGCGAGTATCGTGCTTTCTCGCCTTGATTCAAGTGATTTAGATAGTAGATTTAGATAGTAAGGGCATTTGTGATGGAATCCCTGGATTTTGAAGGTTCTCGTAATCCATCCTATCATTTTCCTGGCTGGTGCTATATTTGCTCAGTTATGCTCACTAAACGTTAGTCATTTTCATGCTGATTATTTTATCGTCTGCCAGGGAGGACACGACTTGTATTTTCATGTATATATGGTATGAGAGTGACGTACAGCAGTGGTACAAGAACTGTACCCTGGGGGGACACGGCGTATATATGGTATGAGAGTGACGTACAGCAGTGGTACAAGAACTGTACCCTGGGGGACACGGCGTATATATGGTATGAGAGTGACGTACAGCAGTGGTACAAGAACTGTACCCTGGGGGGACACGGCGTATATATGGTATGAGAGTGACGTACAGCAGTGGTACAAGAACTGTACCCTGGGGGGACACGGCGTATATATGGTATGAGAGTGACGTACAGCAGTGGTACAAGAACTGTACCCTGGGGGGACACGGCGTATATATGGTATGAGAGTGACGTACAGCAGTGGTACAAGAACTGTACCCTGGGGGGACACGGCGTATATATGGTATGAGAGTGACGTACAGCAGTGGTACAAGAACTGTACCCTGGGGGGACACGGCGTATATATGGTATGAGAGTGACGTACAGCAGTGGTACAAGAACTGTACCCTGGGGGGACACGGCGTATATATGGTATGAGAGTGACGTACAGCAGTGGTACAAGAACTGTACCCTGGGGGGACACGGCGTATATATGGTATGAGAGTGACGTACAGCAGTGGTACAAGAACCGTACCCTGGGGGGACACGGCGTATATATGGTATGAGAGTGACGTACAGCAGTGGTACAAGAACTGTACCCTGGGGGGACACGGCGTATATATGGTATGAGAGTGACGTACAGCAGTGGTACAAGAACCGTACCCTGGGGGGACACGGCTTGTCACTGAGCTTAGTCTTGATTTTGTTTCTTTTTGCATTTGTTTGACGGGAAATTGTTAGATTGTACGCACCCACTACCACCCCCTACCACAGCCACCACACCTACCACCACACCACCCCCTACCACAGCCACCACACCCCCCTACCACAGCCACCACCCCCCCTACCACAGCCACCACCCCCCCTACCACAGCCACCACACCTACCACCACACCCCCCTACCACCACACCACACCTACCACCACACCCCCCTACCACCACACCACACCTACCACCACACCCCCCCTACCACCACACCCCCCCTACCACCACACCCCCCTACCACCACACCCCCCTACCACAGCCACCACCCCCTACCACCACACCCCCCTACCACAGCCACCACCCCCTACCACACCCCCCTACCACAGCCACCACACCTACCACCACACCCCCCTACCACAGCCACCACCCCCTACCACCACACCCCCCTACCACAGCCACCACACCTACCACCACACCCCCCTACCACAGCCACCACACCTACCACCACACCCCCCTACCACCACACCACACCTACCACCACACCCCCCCTACCACCACACCCCCCCCCCCTACCACCACACCCCCCTACCACCACACCACACCTACCACCACACCCCCCTACCACCACACCCCCCCTACCACCACACCCCCCTACCACAGCCACCACCCCCTACCACCACACCCCCCTACCACAGCCACCACCCCCTACCACCACACCCCCCTACCACAGCCACCACACCTACCACCACACCCCCCTACCACAGCCACCACCCCCTACCACCACACCCCCCTACCACAGCCACCACACTTACCACCACACCCCCCTACCACAGCCACCACACCTACCACCACACCCCCCTACCACAGCCACCACACCTACCACCACACCCCCCCTACCACAGCCACCACACCTACCACCACACCACCCCCTACCACAGCCACCACACCTACCACCACACCACCCTACCACAGCCACCACACCTACCACCACACCCCCCTACCACAGCCACCACACCTACCACCACACCCCCCTACCACCACACCACACCTACCACCACAC